GACTGACCTCCCGGGCGTCGTCGAACTGGCAGCACACTCAACAGCGCGTCGATGCTGATCTTCTCGAGGAGCGCCATCGCCGCGACAATGTGCTCGCACATCCATCCTGACTGGCGTGACTCAGAGCAATCGCACACACAGCACTGACGCACCATTCGGATCTAGAGTAAGAACAGTCAGAACCGTCGCTGCCATGTGGGATTGAGATGAGATCAAGTACGTACATCGTCTGCCCTCCATTTTGGAGACACCTCGAACGGGTCATGCTCGCTGTTGAGTACTTGAACGCGGTAGAGTGACTGGTAGAGCAGTTGGGCCTCCGAAGCGCGTCCTCGTGGGATTGATGCACCGACAGTCGGGTAAAGCTGGGCTCGTCGGCTGGAGGCGGGGAACCCGCGCCATCGTCGATGACTGCGAACGCCTCCGACATGGCGACTTTGAGAGTACAACTGAACACCAAGGCAGCAACAGGAAACCCACTACTCGCCCCAACAAGCCTCTACCAACCAACCAGCCACCGGTAGCCACAGCCAACCATCGCTAGCCACAGCCAGCCACCAGCAGTCACAGGCAGCCATTGGTTGCGACAGGCATCAACTGGGGTGCACCACATATCCGTTTTCCTAGTGAGCCATAAATAGTGTTCTCCGTGTAATCGGGAACTCGCAACTCATCCTTTTCGAGCCATGGACTCGCCAATCCACCTTTTTCCCATTTGTACTCGCAAACCATCCTTTTTGAGCATGTACTCAAAGATCATCCTTTTTGTACTCCGATATAATCCGCACCCGTTAAATATGGCGGTTGAATCACAACATCTCAAGGACAAGGATTAACGTATTGTCCAATGCAAGGAACAAATTCAAAAGTGACGCTATCATTTCTCGATCAGAATATGATCCCTCTTGGTATCATTGATAACAACGTATGCATTCGTTTGTTGATTCGACCGAAAAAAATGCAACAGTGAATAATCTATTGAGCAGCTAACCAATCAGCATGTTTTTTGTCGCTTAAGATAACCTCATAAATCGCATACGAACTCGATAACGTTCTTATAGATCTTTCGATTGATGATATCCATTAACATAGTGCTCACTTTTTCGGATGTTGTTCGTTTGTATAGATCGATGAATGTTAATAATTGGGATGTCAG